CTCATAAGACTTGTGTTCTAAGCCCTTTACCAGCTTGGTAGCCCATCTCTGTACCCTCTCCAGCACCTCAGTGTCCCTCTTGTACTGAGGGAGGGGCCCAAAACTGGACACAGTACTCAAGGTGCAGCCTCACCAAAGCTGAGTACAGGGGCATGATCACCTCCCTGCTCCTGCTGACAACACCATTCCTGATCCAGGCCAGGATGCCATTGGCCTTCTTGGCCACCTGGGCACACTGCTGGCTCATGTTCAGCCGGCTGTCCATCAACACCCCCAGGTCCCTCTGTGCCTGGCACCTCTCCAGCCACTCCTCCCCAAGCCTGTAGTGCTGCTGGGGGTTGTTGTGGCCAAAGTTCAGGACCTGGCATTTGGCGTTACTGAAACTGATAGAATTGGCCTTGGCCCAGTGATCCAACCTACCCAGATCCCTCTGGAGAGCCTCCCTACCCTCCAGCAGATCAACACTTCCACCCAGCTTGGTGTCATCTGCAAACTTACTGAGCGTACACTCATCACCATGTCCAAATCATTGATGAAGATGTTAAACAGGAGCGTCCCCAGTACTGAGCCCTGGGGGACACCACTCATGACTAGTGGCCAACTGGATTTAACTCCATCGACCACAACTCTTTGGACTCGGCCATCCAACCAGTTTTTCACCCAGTGAAGCATATGCCCATCCAAGCCAAGAGCAGTCAGTTTCTTTAGGAGAATGCTGTGGGCAAGAGTGTTGAATGCCTACTAAAGTCAAGGTAGACAACATCCACAACCTTTCCTTCACTGAGCAAGTGGGTCACCCAGTCATAGAAGGAGATCAGGTTGGTTAAACAGGACCTGCCCTTCACAAACCCATGCTGACTGGGCCTGATCACCTGGCTGTCCTGCATGTGCTGCATTATGGAACTCAGGATGATCTGTTCCATCAGCTTCCTTGGGACTTAAGTCAAACTGACAGGCCTATAATTTCCTGGATCATCCTCCTTCCCTTCTTATAGATGGGTATTATATTTACTGTGTTCCAATCGGCTGCATTGTTTAAAATAAAAGGACCGTTTGAAAACCTGTGGAGAGTTCTTCTGAAGTTGAATGGGTTTTGAATTGAGTATTCCAGTTCAGTGTGATATTTTAACCTAAGTTTCTGAAGTGCATTTGATTTATTTTAAGATGTTTTAACTTTTTTCCACTCTCGATCCAGGGGCATGAAGACTATTTAATTCTCATTTCTTCTCAGCCACAAAGGATTTGACGTTGTTGATGATCGAAAGACTTGGTTTATGAACAGGAGGCTCTCTCTCAGCTATTCTGAGCTACTTTTCTGCCTAGTTAAACCCTAAAAGAACTGCTTGTTTTCTTTCTCTTTTTTTTTTTTTAAGAAGAGGAAGCGTGCACATGCAAATGTGTGAAGTTGCTTGTGGTACACCTTTCCAAGTGAAATTTGCACACTGACTCCAAACAGAACATTCAATACCCAGCTCAGACAGTGGTCTCATTCAGATGATTAGGTATAAATGTGTTGTTGTTACTTCCTCCCTGTGGAAGGGGGTGCCTTCTAGGACATCTCCAAGGATATGCCACACCCAGTTTCCAGGATATTGAGAGGGGTAGTGAAAGTGCAACAAGCCTGTGGGAAATCGCTTTTGGCAAAGACTCCAGCTGCCTGATGAGGGGTGCTGCTTTTGTGAAATCATCTGCTTGTTGTGAGGAAGCAGGGCATTTCATAGCCTAACCCACACTACCTGAGAGAGTCTTCATTGCCCTACCCCTGACCTTCCTTTACCTTACATGGTACTACTGACAGATTCAGATGCTTCCCTCCTAACAGACAGTTTCTTTTCTCCTTGCTTCGCAATGGAAATTTATGTAGGGTCAATGCTTTCTTTTGAGTAAACAGATTTTTTTTTTCAGCAGGGAATAAAACTGAAATATATGTCTGAAAAATGTCATGGGAATACTCTTGTAGGTTATTAAAATTGCTTCAAAAATGCATGCTCTGGTTAGAAAAGCGGAAGGGAGAAAGGAAACAGAAGGGAAAGGGAGAGGGAGAGGGAAGGAAAGGGAAAGGGAAAGGGAAAGGGAAAGGGAAAGGGAAAGGGAAAGGGAAAGGGAAAGGGAAAGGGAAAGGGAAAGGGAAAGGGGAAGGAAGGAAAGGGAAAGGAAGGAAAGGGAAAGAAAGGAAAGGGAAAGGGAGAGGGAAAGGGAAAGAAGGGAGAGGGAAAGGGAAAGAAAGGAAAGGGAAAGAAAAGAAAGGGAAAGGGAAAGGGAAAGGGAAAGGGAAAGGAAGGAAAGGGAAAGAAAGGAAAGGGAAAGAAAAGAAAGGGAAAGGGAAAGAAAGGAAAGGAGAAAGGGAAAGGGGAAACAAAGTTTACTTTTTATTTAAAAATAAGGTTCTAGGATCTTAGAGTACTGTCCTTCTTGTGAAGTTGACACTGATTAACAAAGTCTGCTGTAGGCTAGACTACTATATTAGTCTGCAGAGTAGCTACCCCATACACTAGAGCAAAATAAACTAAAATGAACTTGCTCTATACCTTACTAATGTTTATCTGATCAAATTTAAAAGGCTCATAGGCAGGCCATTGAACAATAGTTAATTTGGTTTCTTGTCTTTTTGCATTATCTCACACAAATTTGATTAAGGAGTGAGATTCTTTTATTATATATGCATTTATGTATATAATAGATAATAACGTTTTTCCTTCCCAAGAGTAGTCCCTTTTTTTCGGAAAGCCATTGATATGGAGTTGATATAGGGATATATTTAGAAAAATAATGCAGTGGGAAACCTAGGCACTATAAAAAACACATGGCAAAGACTGAGGGGCAGAAGGGAGAGAGAATTGATGGCTTTGGGGTGGTATGTGTTTTTTAGCAGGAAGCTGAAGATCCTTCAAACACAACTTTGATGGAGGGTTGTGAGGGAGCCAAAGACCCTGGCATTCTGGAATTTACAGAAGCTGAATCTGGAACATCCTTGGAAGATGAAGCCAGGCCTGGGGGCTACCACTGCAGCCAGTGTGACCGGGTTTTGATGTCTATGCAGGGTCTGCGATCTCACGAGAGGAGTCACTTGGCTCTCGCCATGTTTGCCCGGGAAGACAAGTACAGCTGCCAGTATTGCTCCTTTGTCTCTGCTTTCAGACACAAGTAAGTTATGGCTTTTATTTTTGTTTTCAAAAGAAGCACATACTAGCACTGCTATTTTGAAGGTTGTTACTGAAGAAAAGTGCACTTAACTTGATCTTGTGCAACACTTCTTTCAGCATTTAGGTGTTTTCCATGCTACGAAATCTTTGGCCATTATAACTGGCTATTTGTGAAAGGTTGCATCTTTATATCTTCTTGAATTTATTTAAGCCTTTTTTTTTTTTTCTTGTGAGGAAAGGGCATGCATGCAAAAGACTAAGGCTTCTTTCAGTAGGCAAACAGTGAAGACCACCACTTATGCAACCTTGTCAAATGCATGAGTTAACAAGGCAAGAAGAGGAGAGAAAACTACTTTCCTTGTTAATCTTTCACATATAAGGAACTTTTGCTGCATATACATACCTTGTTTCTGATTACTACACCTGTTTCATGACTGAGTTTACTTAAATAACTGTCATATACTTACCTTAAAATCAGATTTTTTTTTCTTAATTATGGTATGCAATTTCAGTCTGCAAACATTTCAGATTCACACCAGTGTGGTACACTGGTGACTCTCTCAGCCTGTTTCCTTGTCTGATACGAAAAATACACAGTCATCATTAACAGTAACATTTCTCATGGTTTTGTACCCTTAGGTTGACTGCCGTAAGCCCCAGGTAGATTTAAAAATTAGTTTAATCATGGTCATATATATATGGCATGCCCCCTAAAGATGGGGCTTGTGGGATATTTTTGACTGGCACGTTGGACTGACTCGTAGGTACATGTTTTCTATAGTTTCCGGGGAGGGAGCTGCTTATTTACTCTTTTAACAGAAGAAGAGGTACCCAGGTGCTCATTTGAATTAGGCATTCGTAGCACCATCAGTAATGCTCTTAAATTAGGTGAAGATGTCACAGTTTTGCAATCAAATGCATGTGGGAGAGGCAACATGATAAAAAGCATTTTTTAACTCCTCATATTATTTAAGATTTCTGCTAGTATCACAACATTGCGAACTGATGCTGCGGTTTGGTCTACCTTGTTGAAAAGGTCCGTGGGACTGAGCAGCCAACACTAAGAACGGGACAGAGGAAATGGAGTACTGGGTATATCCCACCTGATTTGGCAAGGCTGACACCGGGGCACACCCCTACCTTACACAGTTTACAGAATTTGCTGTTTGTCTACTAAACTGATTTGCTATCAAAATCAGATGTGTGTTGCATTTGGTCTCCAGTCACTCTTGTTTCTTACCTAGGAAATGAATAAAGTTGTGTCCTACAAATAGAATGATGGGTAAGTAAAAAAGTGGTAGATGTCAGGAAAAGAACTCTACAGATATCACCTAACTTGATAATAGTGTTCTCCCAGATCTGACTAAAACTTAAAAACCTGCTTTCGGAAGAATTTTGCAAGCAAAGTATGTCATTGTGAATATTGTTTTAATTGTTACTGTGAAGAATCCCTTAAGGTATATATAAGAATAGCTTGATACGTATTATATACATATTTGGAAGCCTGCTTTAACCTCACAAATTTTGTTCTGTGAGGTGTTCACTGCAAGTGTTCAATATCTTACTCATTTAGTAGACCTTTTTCCCATTTCTGTGGAAAAGCTGTACATTTTATCTTGCCACAAACTCCATCCTGGGTTTCTATTAAATTGTATTTGGATGAAGTGGCCCTGAGGGGAGACGTAAGTTCATTTTAAAATTTTTTTTCTGTCATCAGATCTTTGAATACACAGACTTCAGTGTTAGCTCTCATAAATAGGGATTTTTCTGGCTCAGGCTCTTGTCAGTGTGGAGCTAAAGATCCTGTGACAATCTTATGTGGCATCATAGGGCTGGAACAACTGCCACTTGATTTACGTGTTGATATTCAGTAAAAAAAGAGCAGGACAATTTAGGAAACATAGAAGGAAATACACCTGAAATAGGTCTAGAATTAAAGTGGCAGGTGGGGGTTAGTTCTGGTAAACTGCCACTCTTCCAGTGTGCTGATGTGCCCTGTTGTTGTTCCATCACCTTGCATAAGATGACTCAAACTATGGCTACATCACAAAGCACGAGTGTGTCCAAAAAAGAGGCTGTACTGGAAATGTTTACAACTCAGGTTGAAACTACCTGCCTTCCATGGGGAGACCGGGAATTCATGGCTGTCAGCCATATTGCTCTGCAGGACTAAGGTAGAATTAGAAAATGTGTAAAACATCCCTTTTTCCCTTCCAAACTTTGCTAAGCTGTTACGAGAAACTGTGGAGAGAGAGCAGGTTGTGATCACGCCCCAGTATTCAGACTGTCAGTAGCTTCCAGTTTCCCTGAAGAAATTAGAGGCTGGTCTTTGCTACCCCTTCTTCTCTTGTTCAGCTTCATGCCGAAGCTCCCACACTGTTACTTCTGAAACTCTGCTGCCTTTTAATCCTGGAACTCATCAACTGCAGCCTGCTGGCACCCTCCCCAGAGCAGGATCTCTAATCTGCTTTTGCTGCGGTAACCAAAAGAAGGCTTCCTCCTAAAGCTGGTCAAAAATACTCTTTTTTTCCCTTCTTCTTTCTTCATCAACCAGACAAAAGGGGGCATATCTTCACAAAAAAAGTTTGGCAGGAGAAAAATTCTGTGATGATAATTTTACTATTCTTGTCCATTTCTTGTTTATTCAACAAGTCCTTTAAGTCTGAATCAGGTATAATTTATACTAATCTTGCCCTATAAGTTTATTTAAGTGGCTTGCTTTCTGCATAACAGAATTGGCATCAGCTCTTCTCGTTTTTCTCAGATTAGATTGTGCTTTATTCTGTAAGCAGACCATTGAATTTTAAGAGAGAGTATCAGAAAGAGTAGTTGAGCCTGGTCTGCATCTTACTTATTATTGCTGTCAAGTGTTTTGCTTTGCATCTGAAGGAATACTTGGAATGATTTACTCCCTTGTGTTTCCCTTTTCTGTCTTTCTCTTTCAAGTTTGGATCGTCATATGCAGACCCATCATGGACACCATAAGCCGTTTCGCTGCAAACTGTGCCCGTTCAAGTCCTCTTACAATAGCCGCCTGAAAACCCATATACTCAAGGCTCATGCTGGTAAGTTTTCTCTCTCACATTTGCAGTGCAACAGCTGAAATGGCCCGTGTATTCTTGTTGCTGATCAGAGATGCTGGTTTGAACCACGTGCTTTGTCACCAAATGTGGGTAAGATTTTTAAAGGCAAGTCAGGATTGGCCAGCCTACTCACCTTTTGGAATCAATGGGACTTTGGATAATGTTTTTGGAAGTACGTGGATGTGAAATAGTGATGAATACTTCAAGAACTTCCTCCTTTTCTTCTGTTTTCTTTCATATGAATGATTTTTTTCTTAATATTTCTACTTGTTTCCAAGGTAATTTAGTCAGTCCACTTACACCATTGGTGTCTTAATGGTTTGGTAGTGACCTTTGCTCCACTACGTTTGTATTTCTCTCTGTGCTTTAGGTGACTCTGGGAAAAGGATTGCGGATTGCCCTCGTTTTTGGTAGAATCTTACACTGACTCTCATGTTAAAACTGAACACTGCAAACTTGGGAGTCAAGTCTGTGTGCAGCAAACTGAGAATTGCAGGATTCCATTATCATACATGGAAATTTGTCTTGCAAATCTCTATATTGCACTACGGAATCCATAGCAATCAAGCAAAGCAAGCAAACAAACAAGCAAGCAAACAGACAAATGTCTAATGAACAGGAATTGGGAAGATGTTGTGTTGTACAGGATAGGGCACCTCAAAGTGTTGCACCTTTGATTGCTAAAAAGTGCAAGACTCAATTTCCTCATCTTTATTCCTTCACCCTAGACTCTTGGCACCATCATACATCATGTATTGAAGGGTTATCAGAAGATTGGAGGCAAAAAACACCGTCTCCATTGGTTGCTGTTGCATCTTTGTAGTTAAAAGGACAAAAAAAATCAATCCTCAAACTGCAATCCAAGCATGCACTCTGATGCAAATAACAGAATATTGGCTAACCTAAAAACCTGCAATCTAGCCCAATAGTTAAGAACTCGCAAGTAGAAACTCTTGTAACAGGTGACAAGAGGACTAGAAGTGTGTTCCTTGCTTTATTATTTGTTTATGTTATATCAAATATTCATGGTGAAGGAATAAGATGGGAAAATGAGGAGAAAAGACAGGAGGAATTTATAGCTGTCTACTGATTTTGAAAAAAAAAAAGTTAACTGTTGCCATTTATCCAAAGCTACTTTTCATCTACGAAAATGTAAAAGGGTTTGATGGTCACTTGTACTTTGTTCCCTGTATTGATTCTGGATTTCACAGAGCTTGTGCCAGGACCCTTTTCTGTACTTCAATGGCTATTGTGGATTGGCTTAACTTTTGTCAACCTCCTGCTGTATGAGACCATGGCATTCTGTCTGTCCTAGGAAATACAACTGTATGCAACAGTTCTGGTTTACAGAGTCCCATATCCTGTGTGGGTGACATGGTTCTTTATCTTTGCCAACCATAAAATATTTTCTTTATGCTATTGTACAGTTGGACTACTTTGTATTACCTTGTTTGAACCTGCTGGATTTTTAGAGCCGAAGTTAGCGTGCAACTAATACTTACTTCACATTCCTTTTTGTGTAAGTCATTGGTGTATTTATTATGAATACACTTGAACTTCATTAGTGGACATTTCTTGAAGGACCATGTTTTGCATTGTACAAGAACTCAGTTTCATGGTAGCCTAGATAGTGCTTGCACAATGACTTGTGTGATAGGGTTTCCAAAGGCTTATGATCTGTTTCTGCCTCAGATCCGTTTCTTCCAAACACATACTCACATCATGGAAAAATTACTTGTATGTTTTTCAGTCAGAGTTTTGGTTTGTTATGTTTTGAGTCAATCCTTCAGAAATATATACTACTGAATAAACACGTTATGAAGACTTTTCCTCAGACTTCTCAGTTTTTCACAGTGGTTCTCCGAACCTCTACTTTGTTACCATGTTTTTGTTTGTTGCAAATCATCTCATTACCAATTTATTTAGAAATGGAAACTTCAATCCCCCTGAGTTTTTCTGATGTCTCCTGGAGATCTTCCAAATTCAGTAGAATCCTGGAGTCTTTTACTCAGCCTGCCTCTCCCCCTCATTTTCTGGGGATGGGTCAAAATTCAGTGGACTGTAAAATGCATTCTTGCCTAACAGCTGGTACCAGTCAGTGTTTCTAGCATTTGTTTTTCATCCAGTGTGTGCCATCTCCTTTGGCTTAGAGCAGAACAGTTTACAGTATCGCTAAGTCTTATTTTCATCTGATCTTTATCATCTGTTCTTTTCTTTTCCTTATATTTCTGGGGGTCTTTGTTAGCATTTTCTAGTGTCCTTGCTTCATTAGTAATTACACTGAATGCACTGCATGCGCAGATGGATGATTGTAAGACAGAGTATTGGCCTGACGCAGTTTCTATGTAATCTGGAACATAATTCTTTGAGTACATATTGGGTGTTGAGACCCAATATGTAAATTTTTAGATCCATTTATTTATATGTATATTAATATAGTAATTTTATGAAACGCAAAACTAGCAGTCAAAGTGAGGAAGGCTTCTGTTAAGCCAAACTGTAGCCTTTGCTCTGCAAACACACACATCCTTTCATGCTGATGTCTACCTGGACTGTTTTGGCTGTTTAGTGGATATATTTATTAGTTGTATCTAGACTGCTTACTCTGTAATTGTCCTCTATTTGCTTTAACATCTTGTGGTGCTTTTAAGTTAACGGTTGGTGCCTACTGCCATGCAGGAATCTCTTTATACTTACAAATTAGGAAGGTCTATATCTGTATCTCAGTGTTATCTTATGCTTTGGAGTTTCTTTTTCCTTGATATTATCGTCTTCCATTGAGTGACTTGTTGTACATGCTGTGCAAAAAATGGTTTCTTTTTATTTGTAACAAGGTAATATATAACTGATATAATATGCAGATGAGAAGTGCCATTTGTAAAATATGTGGGGCAATTTTGCATTTCACCATTTCAGGCTCTTTAAGTTACATATTCTTTTTCAGATGTACCAAAAGAGACTTTTTAAGAGTTTGTATTTTGTCCCTGTGATTGTCATAGCTTTCTGGAAGAGAGGGATGGGAGTTATTTTTATGTAGGATGATTGCTAATCTTTTCAGGTGTGCTTACTCTGACTTACTGCAATACATGTGTTTTCATGTTCTCTTTTGGTTCACTTACTCCTGGCAGGAACAATGCTGTTTGAAAACCTTGTTTGCTAAATTTGTTGAGAGACGGAAAACATGTTCTGCTTCGTTCATTACCAGAACTCCTGTTCTGTTACTGTTCATGAATATTTCACTCCTATATTAGTTTTGGCACTTAATGTACAACTCATGTGTGGCCAGTGATACTCTTGTACGTGGAAGCAGCACTTCCAAAACAATACCTTGGCACCTCTATAATACCACATTGTTTGTGTTGGGACAGTTTCATTTTATGTTCCAGTTGCTCCATGCTTAATGCAAAACAAATCTTGTCTCAGGATTTGTTTTTCCTTGTTTGCTGTCTTTGTGGCTCGGAATGTATTCAAAATTAAATTCACTACTGTTCATTATTTCTTTTCTTTCACTTCTTCTAGTACTTTTTCATAACACACTTTCACGTAGCCTTACAGATGTGCACTGCTCTTGATATTGCCATGTACGCTTCTTGTAGTAAACCAACCTTGACTTGGTCACCAGTTCTATGAAGATTATTTCTGCCTGATGGCAGTTTTTTCATAAGGAAAATGTGACCTTCCCCAAATGTAAATTCCTCCTCCCTCAAATATAAGTTTCCCTGTTTGGTGGTTTTGGTTTGGTTTTTTGTGGTTTTTTTGTGCTTATTTGGGTTTGGTTGTGGTTTTTGTTTGAGGAACCTTTGTTAGTATACTGTGGTGTCCTTCTTGCTTCATTAATAATGACACTGGATGTGCTGCATGCAGAAACAGATGACTTCACCCTCTCTGGTTGCTATATTCCCAAAGAAATTTGGAAGTGCTGTAGTGAGGTGACTCCATTTTCATCCCAGAGTCTGTTTTCTTCTCATACCATGCAACACAGGCATGCTGAGAGTCTGATCTCTGTTTTTTGACGTCGGTCACTTTACAAGGATCTGCAGTTGTCAGAAAGTGATACTTTGGTCCAAAGCAGGTGTTTGAAACCGCAGGCTCCAGACTGACTGCTCCAACAAGGAGACACACATGGCTTTTTCTCTTTGGGGCCAGTCTTTCACGGAAGAGTCCATGGGAATTTTGCTGCCGAGTTCAGTAACAGAAGTATGGGGGCCCCATTTTGTTTCTTTTGTGAGCTGATGACTTGCCTGTATTTCGCTCACCCAGGTGAACATGCCTACAAATGTTCCTCCTGCACATTTTCCACCATGACAATCAGCCAGCTGAAAGAGCACTCCTTGAAAGTGCATGGGAAAGCACTGACACTACCAAGACCCCGCATTGTCAGCCTTGCAGCCTCACACGCCCACCACACCTCCAAGAACCACACTCCTGCAGACTCTAATGGTAAGAGGTGCCTCAGAGCAAGAATTTAATTGTCTAAGGTGCCACTTAATATTTTTCTTACAAACGAAATTACGGCAGGTAGATTACCCAGAAAAGCAGCTTCATTTATCATTAAGAAAAAACAGAAGTTGCATCAAAAGCAAGAATAAATGTAGTATTGTAGGAACTGACCTGCTTTAGATCCTCACCAGTTCATTCTACATTAACGTGCCCTGTCGCCAGTTGACTTTGTAATATGTCAATGCTGGCTTTACTTCTTAGTAGAGATTTAAATGGTAGAAAACTTCCCAAGGCAGAGTTTCTATTGACAGCCAGTGGAAAAGGGATCATCTAATTCCATCCATGCTTCTGAAAAACACCTCTTTATCTCATCGACAGAGCGCTTCAGTAAAACCACATGATTAAGCTTAAAATGTGAACCTGTAATTATAGTAAAAGCAGTTATTCTTCTCATCCTTGCTACAGAGGACACCTAAGGTACCTTCAGCTGTTAAGCTACATCTGCAGGAAGGAGAATCTGAGAACAATTTTATTTTCCATGCTTTCTTTGAAAGCTGTTAATACCCTTGTGCTGGAGGAGTATGCAGAAGATATTTGGAAAGCAGCAGAGGAAGGGACGCTGTTGACAGAGAAAGTGCAGACTCATGGAAGAGCTGATCTTTGGGAAAAAGTCTTAGTTCCTAAATGAGTTGCATTGACATGAGAGTAGAATGTGGGAGACTGTAAAAGGTTCAGACCTGCAGATTTCAAGGAACTGGGGTGGATCAGGATGTATTTGATGAGAGAAAAAAGAAAGCATTTTTCCAGATTTGGAAGGTTCTTAGTTCTTTTGTTGTTGCTGCTGTTTTGCCAGGGTTGCTGGTGAAGTACGGGTGGGAGGTAAATATTACAAGTAATTATTTTGTAGCACTTTCAATCTCCCATCTTCCCTTCTTTTTCACTGAAAAGAAGCATGAAATCAGGAAGAGTGAAAGATAAGCAATATGTTCAGAACATAGCAGAAAGGAATTTAAAGAAAAATTTAATCATCATAGAAATACTCTGTTGAAGAACGAGAGACGAGAATAATATTTTTGTGGTTCAGCAAGTCACTTCTGTGGTCAGAATCAGAATCATATCAAAAGATATGATTGACCAGCTGCCCTCGGACTACCTTTTTTCAAGTGATTGTCTGGAACAGTGCAATGAAGATTTACTAACTGAGATTTTGGTTTTGCTAATGCTAGCTTAAACTAATCCAACAAGCAGTGTACATCTTGTGATGTATCCTGTTGCTTTTTTATTACTTTTTAAAAAAATACTCCTTTACTGACTAAGAAGTGGAGAATAGTTTTCAGTGGCCATCTTTCCTCTATGTTTTGGTAGCAATGGTGTAACAAAAGGACAATATTTGAGTTTGGAAGGGATGGTTCATGATTAGTCATGATTAGTGAAGTTAAAATTTGAGTGCAGATCTCTGTAGAAGATAATTTTACAGCCTTTAGGAACTCTTAAAATACGTAAAATGATGACTTAACAGAAGCATTTCATAAGGTTGGCTCTGTTACCTGTATCTGTATTGCAGCCTGAAACCAAGACAGAATTTGTCCCAATTAACTTCATCATCCTTAAATAGCGTTAATGGTTAAGTCACTTTGACAATAATAGCAGCCACCCACTGGGGAGCTAGTCAGGCGAGTACAGGTCTTATAATAATTATAACATTTTCAGCTGTACTTGAAGGAATAACCTGGTTTAAGTAATTTTTGTAGATGAGGAGGTTTGCTGCAGATCAAGTTAATGATGGCTGCTTTTAGGACGTCATTTATTGGGGGTTTTTAGAAGGGAATAAATCAATATCTTTGTGGGCTAAGCCTGCAATTTGGAGGTGATATGTAGAACTAGGTAAAAGACTAGTCCCAATAATGGGAAATGCAGGTCTGTGTGGCAGGCACAATTATGTCCAACTGGAGTCAATATTAAGTGGGGCTCACACAGTGTAGCATAGTTGGATTTTGCCAGTATTAGTGTGTATAAATAACCTGCAGTGAGGTCTGTGATCAAGTTATTTCACTAGGGATGCAAAATTGAATTAGGGCTGGTGTGAAAGGCAGGCATAAAGTTGCTTCACGTTGTTACAAACTTGCCTTGTAGGTTGATAGGTATGCAGCATACTAGTATAATTGAAGTGGTTGCAGAAATGGTCTGTTCTTGTTCATGGACAAATATTGTGGTTGGAATAGGAAACAGAGCAGCAGACTTGGGGAGATTTGGGGAGCTAGAGGAAGTAATCTTACCTATTGTTCATCCCTGTAAAAATAGAATAGGGAAAAGCATGCTGAACTGTAATAGCAAGACATGAGTCTGAATAGAAGCGTTCTGAAACAACTGTCCAGTGGACCTTCTGCTGATGCTTTTTTCCCTGCAGAAATTGTTCCCTAAGGGGCCTTTCTTGGAACATTTCTTCTGTTCTTTTAGATTGATCCATTCATTAGAAGACTGAATATGTTTCCATTTCTGTGACTTATCTCTTCAGTTCTGTGTTGGTAGCAGCAGGCATATCTAAAGTGTTCAACTGTATATCCTGGAGATGTTCTGGATGCTTGATATACTTTTCGTGGAAGTGAAGTTAAAGTGGAATAGGTGCTGAACATTCTAGGTAGGCCCATCCCAGGCAACTGTGTTGTCGTTAGGAAGCTTAACAACCGCATTAGTCCTCCTTGCCTCTCTCAGGGCAGTAGTGAAAGGTGACTGTGTCAGTCTCAGCGGGTCAGCAGAGAAGGCTTTCTTGCAGATACATCGTTGGAAGATGCTGCTTTTTGTGTCCTACCTCTCTTGTGTGTTGGGTGGTATTTTGATATGTAAAAAACTTGTTTTCATTGTGTCCTAATCTAACTAGCAGTAGGTAAAGCACTCGTTTTTTGGGAAACTGGGGTGGTGATGTTTTGTTTTGAGAGTGTTGTTCTTACAAACAGCCACAAAAAAAACAACAAATGTTCATCACCATTGCAGCTTTTCCATATCTTGCAAAGCATAGGGACACTGAATGGTTTGTGGCATCCAGCTCTTGTTGAAAGGATAAGGTTACCATTGTGGTAAAAGTTTTAGCTTGCCCAGGTGTTTTTCCTCTTGCAAGAAAGGAATGATGTTTTACTGCTTATTTGTATTTGTGTGGTTGACATTTTTGTTTGTTTGTATTTTCTTATTTGCCCTTTACACTGAAACGTGGCCGAATACTTTTGAGAACTTGCACAGTAAAAATTCAGTGTAAATTCAGATATTACATACTGCTAGAAGGATTGGGTGAATCCCTTAACAAGATCAATTTCTGTGTTCTTTCACAGTCTTTGTGAGAGTCAGAACTTATACTGATGTTAAACTCTGCCCAGAAGGGTCGTATGGATTTATTGATGATACTGCCATCCTATGAGGCAGTATGTGTCACAGATAAGGTTTTCCACTATTGCACTGTGCAGTGTCAGCTCTGTTCCTGTTGACCTGAGTGCAAAGAAACGGAATCCCGCAATCTGCATTGTCAAGGCATAACATTAGAAGACTACCATCTCTTTCAGCAAGGAAGAGCTGGAAGCAAGGCAGAGACACAAAAATTCTGTGACTGAACCCTAGAAAACAGGAGTGATAACAATAGGTGTTACCTGCAAAGTGGTCATTACCTAAGGAGAAAAGCATATGGTGACAAACACTGCTTGTGTAAGCACTGGTGTTATGCATGTTTTCTAGTATTCAGGGGTTGTGGAGGTGGTGGACTGCCAGGTTTTTCTGAACTGGAGAAGTCCATGAGTGCAACCTGTTGTCATAAAGCCCATAAGGCTGAATGACTCGATAGATTGATAAATGGTTTTGTGTTACAGCTTCACCATCAGCAAAAGCTTCCTGGGAGCATGTAAAATACTTGCCCTAAATTGCTCTGGCCGACGCTACTGCTTTTTTGAGCAGCTCTTTATTTTGTGAAAATAACCCTTTTGGCCTAAGTGTCGTCTGTCGTGGAGCAACTCTGTTCATATGGCTGGCAGATTTGGAGCCTCATATATTTGTTTGTATCATGACTGTGTGCAGTAATTCAAAATAATAGTTTCTTAATTTTACTGCTTGAGAATCTTGAACTGTCCAAATAAAATAGTAAACTGCAAAGTGATAGCCTAGACAGACCTGGATGTAGTTCCTAATGTCTTCTCAGTCATGTTGCTACTGTACAAGATCATGCCTTCACAGTGGTATCTAGTTCTTGAAATGTAGGAAGCAGCATATTATGGTGTGCCCTCAAACTCAGTAGTCATGCCTTTTGCTGTTGTGCAAACAAATCGAGATCTATCATTAATACTAGCACACATGACAAAACACATGCAAGGTCAGAACTAGGAGATATTTTGAGTTTCCCAGTACATCTTCATTAAATTTAATTAATTGCAGCAGCAAATGCCTTGAAAACTGCTAAGTGAAGCACCCAGTGCCCAGTTCCAGCTTTTTCTGAACTTTAGCCTTTGCCAGTGGAAAAAAACGTTGCCTCATCTAAAGACTGAAATATAAACGCATTGCTTGCTTTGCCAGAGCTAGGCTGGGTACAAAACTGTTTGACAAGGTCCTGTTTCTGGGACTGCTGTTTAAAAACAGTAAATCCCTTCCCATTTCTGTACACTTCCCCAAAGTGGATAATGAATAATTAGGATGTGTGTCTATATGCCTTCTGAGAGATGAAATCCTGAGGGGTGCAGAGGGCCTTTAGCAGGTTTGCTAAAGCAATTTCTGGTGTAGCACCAGAACAAGAGAACAGTGCAAGGAGCCTTTTCAACAAAGTCTTCTCAACTGGTGCCACTGAGGCAGGATTCTTACACTGGTCCACTCAGCCTTAGCACCACGCATCTCCCTCTTCCTTCCACTTTTCAGAAGAGAGTCAAGCTTTCCATTTGCTCGAACATACTACCTCTGATTTTTACTTTCACACATAGTGTAGTTTGGGGCTGACATGTTATCCTGGTTTGAACTAAACAGAACCAATTCTG